GGGGGATTTAAATCCCTGCTTCATTTGCAATTGCGATATGTCTAATTTGCATCCCTTTTACGGAAAAGGGATGCAGTCTAGACACAGCCCAAGAGTTTTCAAAGATAATGGCCAGTGGCTCTGCAAAAACATTAGCCAACTCCCTCAGCACCCTCCAATACACCCTCATGGATTTGTGCATGTCCAGCTTCCTACGTGGCCCTTTAACCTGTTCTTTAATCATTGAGGGCTGCTCATTTCCTCCCCATACTGTGCTGCTCAGTGCAGGAGTCTAGGAGCTGTCCTTGTTTGTGAAGACCAAGACAAAAAAAGCATTGAGTACTTCTGCTTTTTCCAAATCATCTGTTCGTAGGTTGCCTCCCCACATTCAGTAAGGGTCCTACACTTCCCAACATCACCTCCTTCTTACTGACATACCTTAAAAAACCCTTCTTGTTACCCTTTACATCCCTTGCTAACTGCAATTCCAATTGCATTTTGACTTTTCTGATTTCATACTGCATGCTTGAGCAACATTTTTATACTTCTCCCTTGTCATCTGTCCAAGTTTCAACTTTTTGCAAGCTTCCTTTTTATGTGTAAGCTCTCCAGAGTTTTCTGTTAGGCCAAGCTGGTCACTTACCATAGTTTGCTCTTTTTGCACATCAGGATGGTTATGTTCCTACACCCTCAGTAAGGCTTTTTTAAAATACAGCCAGCTCTCCTGGGCTCCTTTCCTCCTTATATTAAATTCCCAGGGGAGCCTGCTCATTAGTTCCATGGTGGAGTCAAAGTCTGCTTTTCTGAAGTCCAAATTCTGGTTCAAATTCTGCTGCTCTCCTTTCTTCCTTTTATCAGGATCCTGAACTCAGCCATCTCATGGCCATTGCTACCCGCTTCTATTTCCCCTACCAACGTACCCTGTTTGTTAAGAGCAGGTCAAGATGATCCAGGAGATTACATGGGTGCTCGTCATGTGGTGGTAACAAGGGTTGCTTCCTCCCCTGTCCCATGCATGCATCAGTAGCAGGAACCAGAACAGTCCAGCAGCCTGTTCCTTTCTGCCTCTGCACTCTTCTGGCCCACTGCACTCAGCTTCACAGAGGTAATAGGAAGGAGAGTGCCCAGGTGGGGCCTGTAGCAGAAGTGTTGCCTCTGGCCCTGCAACATCCTAAGGATGGCCCTTGGTACAGAACGAGGATTCATCACAGAATTTGGTCTACAGGCTGATCATTAGCTAGGCCAGATACTGACAGGCAGCATAAAACATGGGACTGCAAAAAGGGACCTAAAAGATGCTAATCTGGCCTGTTGTTGCAAAAACAATGTTGATATGAAACAGAAAACATGCAACAGGAATTTGAATTACATTTTCCAGTCTCCAAATATAACATAATAAAAATCAAAAGTGAAAGCTTTGTGTGCATGAGCTTGATGAGATAACATCAAACAGGTTTAATGGAAAGTTACGTGCAGAAATAAATCTATTACAACCATAACAAAGGGCCTGTGATCAGAGACAGCTGGGTGATAAAGACAACAAAAAGGGTTATAATTAAGATGGAAGAAAATTACATTTTAAAAATATATAAAATAATTCAGCAGCTATATATTGAAGATGACCAGAGGAAAATACTGTTTTTTAAAATGTGGTGGTAGCATCTGCTTTCATTCAAAAATAAATTTTAAGCAGTGGCAAACTCAGAAAGATTGTTTCTGCTTTGCTTTAATTATAATACATACTGCTATGGGCCATTTACTATTTGAATGGTCATAAAATATATAGCATGGCAGCTCTAAACTACAAAGTGTTGTATTATCAGTTGTGAAAATTATATTAAGTACATATAAATATGAATAAAAAACTGCTACACTTGCAATGTAAGCCTTTTAAAATGTATATATTAAAGAGTTTTCATCCAATCTGTTACTTCATATGACTATCCTTGCAAAGTTTTAAATGGAGTTACTAAACACAAAAAAACCATTGATGAAAGCCTAGTTCCACAGAATTCAATGGAAAAACTACCTTTGACTTCAGTGGAGCCAAGATTTTATCCACTGTGTCTAAAGAGCAAGGAAGAAGAAAAGTCCTAAGATTTGACTGAAACTTATAAGCAAACACTGAGCAATACAATACAAGAAAAGGATTATACAAAGAGGAGGCATAGTACACAAAGGCTGTGTCTAGACTGGCAAGTTTTTCCGCAAAGAAAAACTTGCCAGCTGTCTACACTGGCTGCTTGAATTTCTGCAAGAACACTGACAATCTCATATAAGAAATCAGTGCTTCTTGCGGAAATACTATGCTGCTCCCGTTCGGGCAAAAGTCCTTTTGCGCAAAAGGGCCAGTGTAGACAGCTCAGATTTGTTTTGCGCAAAAAAGCCCAGATCGC